TGTTTTATGGGGTGCTTTGGGTTGGGACGTGTGGGATAGGGGAAGGGGGAGTTTTAAGGTGTTCTTGGTTAAGGGAGGAGAAGGGAAAGTGAAAAAGGGAAGGGTATTTGAGGGGGTGGCCGAAATAGAGTAGGGAGGAGGAAAATATATTTAGTTGTTTTCTTTAAGGAAGATAGATAAACCAAGTAGGTGTTAAGAGATATTACACACTCTTATCTTTTACTTGGGGTTGAATCTAGTATTCAAATAAGATATTACACACTTATTTAAATAACTAGAACCTATAACTCACACCTAAGAGAACCACTCTTAAGATATAGAAATAGGAATTTAAAATAGAACACACAAGTGTATTACTATTGAAATGGGAAATACAATCTGATGATGTTACAAAGGCCTATGGCCGAAATATATATAGAAAAACAAGGGAGACTACCAAGTGTTGTATCCTCGGTTACGTCAACTAATTCTCAAGAACATAAACAAATAAATGGATTAATGTCCAAATGTCACAATCCTTTTTGGAATGAATCTCTCACCCCAAAACCATAAAACCCAACATTGATATGTTTAAGCCCATGATTTCCGAAACCCAACCCTTTAAAACCCATCACAAACCTTTTCAAAAACCTTACCTTAAAACGCTAACCTTTTCCCTTTCATTCCCTTGTTTGGCCGAAAACCCCCACATCCACCATGGCCCCCACACCATTCTCAACATTCATGGATATCCAAAATATCCCCCTTTTCATTATTTAACCCTTCCCCCTCTTTTTCCTTGAAGCCTGGCCGAATACAAGAACAAAAAAATAACAACCATTTTAATGTTTGAAGACCAGCCAACATTAGGGACCACTTGTCCCCTAGTAAAGCCAAATGTACACTCAAGAATAGGCCAAAGAGCATTTGTGTTGTTTGATAAGCTTGCTCACCATATACTCTATACATTAAAAGCCAAACAACACACAATATTCACAGCCCTGATTTTTCCTCTTTGATGGCCGAATATAACCCCTCACCCACCATATATTTCATCACACAATCAACCAAATAATCCTCTCATCAAACCACCCCTTTGTCTCCCTAATATGGCCGAAACCATCACATTAAAACCCCATCAAAATTATCCTCAAATCACAATATTCCCACACACCCATTTGTCTCTCAATATGGCCGAAAACATCAAAGCCAAATTCCCCCTCATCCTTGATTTTCATTCCATAAAATAATGTGATCAATTGGGTATTAATCTGGATATTTGTTTAAGGAAGTTGCCTGGAATTTCCCTTTTCTTGCTTATATTTATTTCGGCCAAGGGGCCTCATTGTAATCCATCTTTTGTAATCCTATTTTCAAGATAATACAACTTGTTGTGTTGTTTTCAAAATCCCTAATATCTTAAGGTTGGTTTCCTTAAGTGTGAGTGTTAGGTTCTAGTATTTCATTAAGTGTGTTATATCTTAATTGAAGTCTAGATTTCAACCCCAAGAAAGGATAAGAGTGTGTTATATCTCTTAGACCTCCTTGGTTTATCCCCGTTACTAAAACACCTCCTTTTTCTTTCCCTGAAACTGCCCAATAATCGATTACCAGCTTGGAAAAATTGATTATCAATTCACGAGAAACACCTGCAGTCATCAATAATTGATTTTCATATTTGTGTAAATCGACTATCACCCCCTTTAGAAAATCTCCGCCAAATCCTTTGAGAAACTGAACCCTTCAATAATCGATTATCTCTTTAGATAATCGACTATCACTCCTTCTCCATATTAAAACCATTGTTTTTCCTCAAACAACCTAAGCCAAGATACAACATTTGGTATCAGAGCCCCTTGTTTCTACATCCCAAAGGACCAAAAACACCCTTCCACTCTTTCCCCATTTCTTCATCCTAGTGCCCATTATCTTCTTCCTTATCACCATGTCAAACCAATCTCAAAACCTCACCAATGAAGAGCTTCAAACCTCCAATGCTGCCCTAAAAGCTCAAGTTGAATACTTAGCTAAGCAGGTAGCCCAACTCACCAAGATGAAGTTAAGGATGGCGGATACCCCCGAGGAGAGTGATGAAGAACAGGAGATTGAAACACATCCTACGGAAGATTCCAACACCAACGCCGGAGGCAGCTCTCATGAGAAAGGAACCACGGATTTCAAGGTTGACCTTCCCACCTTTGAAGGGAAGAATGACCCCGACGAATTCCTAGAGTGGTTGGAGACCGTTGAGCGCGTCTTTGACTTTAAAGACATTCCCGAAGATAAGAAGGTCAAAATAGTGACATTGAAGCTACGAAAGTACGCTTCTACATGGTGGACGAACACATGCACTAAGAGAAGACGAGAAGGCAAGGTTCCCATCACATCATGGCTCAAGATGAGGGCTTTGATGAAGAAGAAGTTTCTCCCCGAACAATATGTAAGGGATAACTTCGCTCGCCTTCAACAACTCAGACAAGGCACCCGGACGGTGGAAGATTACACTCGAGAGTTTGAAGAACTCTTGATGCGGTGCGACTTACAAGAAGATGATTCCCAAACCCTTGTCCGCTATTTATTTGGGCTAAACACCCAAATAGCTAATGTACTGGAGCTTCAGCCATACGACACCTTCAAAGAACTGTCCAAACTCGCCCTGCGGGTTGAAGCACAACTCAAGAGAACTAGAACCCCCTTTGGCCGCCCCTCAACCTGCACCAAAGCTCCTCCCAATCCCTCACGAAACCCAACCGCCACCTCTGCCCAAACACCATCATCAATGTTGAATATAAGTGAGCCCTAGAGGCCAACTTATGATTCCATATCTATATTATATCAAGAACAATAGGCCCTAAAGATTGTTTAAGTCGTCTCGTGTGATTTAAACATAGCTTTAGTCCATAGAGTAGGCGCTCTAGTAACATAGATGAGAACTACGACGTTCTAATTATGAGGCTGTTACAAAGATAGAGGCTACGTCTAAAATATCCTTAGTCGAATATTATGACAATATGGACATCATAATATATCAAGACTAATACGTATGAGATGAGATAGCTGCGTCTCATAGGCTATAGATAAAGTGTTATCTAAATCTATACGTAGGCAACCATATTGGATATGTTGCTGGATTGACCCGCTATGAGAATAATATATGGGTTTGAGTTTAAGTGTTAATATTATTCTCATGCGACCATTAGTATAACTATCCTTTGACTTGAAGTCATTACATTCTTTGGTAAGTTGAGTTGTATACTTTGAGGCATGATTTATGCCATCTGAAATATTGGTGGATGTACAGTTATGTTTTGGGTATGCAATGAAACTTAAGCGAAGATGTGAATGACGTAGACAGAATTTATCCCTTCTTTAATGAAGTATAATATCTTAGGGCCCACTGATTGATGTGACTTGGGAAGTGCATGGCCATGCCCAAATAAATATGTTATTTGAATCCCACAAGTCAATCGAAGAATCAGTAAACCATCGATTTAACTTTAACAAGGTGACACACCCCATACCTTG